ACCATGTCGTGAAGGGTGTGTGTGGTGTAAATAGATGACAAAAGTTGGTGATAATAAAAGACAATGGTGGATATGTATGGCATTAGCACAAGTGCCTCACACGTTCATACCCTTGCGTCCAAGGGCCGTGAGGCAAGTGCTTTCTTGTGTAACCACCGCAGCAAAAACCTCTCTGGAGAGGTCATGCTACGGGATGCCCGGGTATATGATGTGAAAACTATGAATTTCTTTAAAAAACGCTAACAATGATTTGTAACTAAAAAGCGGTTCCCTACCGACGAACATTGCAGGGTGCAAAGGTATATGTTGTCGGTAGGGTAATGGAATTAAGTGTTGTTTTCTTACAGTGTCCAATTGTTTGCACTCAATTAAAATGTGAAGGACTGTCAATACTTCACCACATCTGTTACACAATGGTGGATCGCCACCGGACAAAAGGTGTGTGTGTGTCGTGTATGTGTGTCCTATCCTGAGTCTCGTTAGTATTACCTGTGTATGACGCGATTTCGATACAGGCAGCCAATGACCAAGGTGTGGCTTAATAACGTGTAGTTTGTTTTGTGTGTGTGTATCCCACTTGCTCTGCCAGTATACTCTGAGGTTTCGTTTGAGAGACGGCTTAAGATCAACGGCCGGGATTGATATGGGTGTAGAGGCAGTGCTTTTATGGACGGATGCAGCGAGCTGATCCGCCCTCACGTTGCCTTGAATCTCACGGTGCCCTGGCACCCAGCACACTACAACATGTTGTTTGAGCGTGTATAGTGTGCATAAAATGGAGTAAAGTGAGACAAGGACTGGGTTTTTGTGTTTTTTAAGAGTGTGCAGAGCCGTTACTACACTGAGGGAGTCTGTATAAATTACTGCTTTTTGTATTTGTAATTGCTTGATGTGTTTAGCCGCCACAAGTATCGCGTAGGCTTCCGCTGTGAAGATACTTGTGCCTGGATGTAGAGGGCCAGCATCCGAAAAGGATGGGCCGACAGCAGCGCAGGACACAGAAGAGTTAGACTTGGAGGCATCTGTAAAGAACTCAGGACGTGTGTATTTATGTTGAAGTTCCAGGAAGTATGTTCGGATATGGGCAATAGGCGCATGTTTTGTAACTTCAAGAAAGGACACATCACAGTCTATAGTCTGCCACTGCCACGGTGGCAGATATGCTACAGTAGCTATTAAACTATGTTCAAGTGAGACTCGAGTTTCCTCAGCTAGACTTTTCAGGCGAACTGAGAACGGCTGCCTCATCGAAGGCCTGTTTTGAAACAGAATGGAGCTCGACAAATCAATAATAGTGGAGTATGAGGGGTGCTTCTTATCTGCTTTCACCTTAAGGAAATAAACAAAGGACATGTAAGTTCTCTGCAGATGAAGCGACCACTCATTCGACTCAACATAAAGGCTTTCTACGGGGCTGGTGCGAAAAGCACCCGTAGAAAGGCGGATGCCCAAATGGTGCACGGGGTCCAGCATCTTCAAAGCACTTTGTGTTGCAGACTGATAAACAATGGCTCCATAATCTAAGCGGGTGCGAATGAGGCTTCGATACAGATTCATGAGACATTGCCTGTCACTACCCCACGTAGTACGTGACAACACTTTTAAAACATTCATGGCTTTTAAACATTTTGTTTTTAGATACTTGATGTGCGGTACGAAGGTCAACTTGTTGTCCAAGATTAATCCTAAGAATTTATGCTCCACATTGACAGACAGACGTTGACCGTTCAGTTCAATGTCAGGTTCTGAGTGCATGCCTCTCTTTCGGGAGAACAAGACACACGTGCTCTTTAGTGGGTTCAGTCGGAATCCGTTTTCCTCTGCCCATTTGGAGACCTTGTTTAAACCTAACTGAACCTGTCGCTCACACATGGCCAAGTTGCATGACTTGAAGCCAAGCTGAACGTCGTCGACATATGTACAATAGAACATATTGCGGGGAATGGACAAGTGCAAAGAATTCATTTTAATAATAAAAAGTGTGCAACTAAGCACACCACCTTGTGGCACGCCTGTTTCCTGGACAAATGTTTGGGAGAGCACACTGCCCAGACGGAGACGGAATGTCCGGTTTGACAGGTAACTTTCGATTATATGAAACATTCTTCCGCGCACACCAAGGTGGGACAGGTCTCTTAGAATTCCGTAACGCCATGTAGTATCATAAGCCTTTTCGATATCGAGGAACACAGAGAGGAAATATTGTTTATGGACGAACGCGTCTCTGATCTGTGCCTCGATACGAATAAGGTGGTCTGTGGTGGATCTACTTTCTCGAAACCCGCACTGAAATGGGTCGAGCAAATTATTTGTTTCAAGAAAATGTACAAGTCGGCAGTTTATCATTTTTTCGAAGACTTTGCACAAGCAGCTTGTAAGTGCTATAGGCCTATAACTCGAGGGTAAAGAAGGGTCCTTGCCCTCTTTCAAAATGGGAATAACAATAGCCTCTTTCCAGGAGGTAGGAATAGTGCCAGAAGACCAAATAGCATTGTACAAACAAAGTAAGGTTTTTCGGGTTTCGTTTGGTAGGTTTTTTAACATTTCATACATCACACGGTCAGAACCTGGGGCAGAAGTACTGCAGGAGTTTAGAGACATTTGCAGCTCAGCTAGACTGAAAGCTTGGTTATATGCCTCGGATCTAGTGCATTTGAGTTCAAGTTTCTGCTTTTCTATTCTTGTTCTGTATTTTTGGAAAGTGTCAGTATAGTGGGATGAGCTGGACACCTGTTCGAAGTGTGCACCGAGGAAGTTTGCCTGATCTTCCAAGGTATCACCCCGAGTGTCCACGAGTGGAAGTGTGTGTACTTGTTTTCCTGCTATCCTACCGACCATGTTCCAGACTTTAGCCTCCTGTGTGTATGAATTGATCCCTGATAAAAACTTCTGCCAGCTTTCTCTTCTGGCCTGCCGACGCGTTCTCCTGCCTTGAGACTTTATTTTCTTGAAGGTTTCAAGATTTTCGGCTGTCGGTGAGTTCCGAAGCAGCCTCCAAGCTCTGTTTTGCTGTTTGCGCGCGTTTCGGCATTCAGAATTCCACCATGGCACACATCGTTTTCCAAGGTGTCCATTTGTTTGTGGGATGCATTTTGTTGCAGCAGCAATCAAAAACGCTGTGAAGTAGTTCACAGCAACATCAATGTTCAAAGTACAGATGTCGTTCCAACCTAGATAAGCGATAGTATGAAACTGTTCCCAGTCGGCTCTGTTTATGAGCCACTTGGGAACACGTGGTGGACACTCAGTTACTGTCGTTGTGCTCAAAACTACGGGGAAGTGGTCACTTCCGTACAGATTACTGACGACTTTCCACTGGAGTAGAGGCACAAGAGATGGAGATACTATGCTCAGGTCTATGGAGGAGTAGGTGTTATTAGCGAGGTTATAATAGGTTGGTTCTTTTCGATTTAGGAGACACGCGCTCGACGAGATAAGGAACTGTTCGATCAGTCGACCTCGCGCGTCATACCGAGAGTCACCCCATAACCTGCTATGCGCATTAAAGTCTCCAAGGAGAACATAAGGCTCCGGAAGTTCATCAATTAGAGAGTGTAAATCGCGTTTTTGGAGCTGATAGCTAGGAGGAATGTAAATACTGCAGATTGTGATCAGTTTATCAAAAAGAACCGCTCGAACAGCCACTGCCTCAAGGGGTGTTTGGAGTTGTAAGTGTGTGCATGCTATTCCTTGATTCACTATGATGGCAACACCTCCGGATGATGTCATAGCATCAACACGGTCTTTTCGGAAAATAACATATTTACGAAGAAAATTTGTGTGTTTTAAATTAAGGTGTGTTTCTTGTACACACAGCACTTTTGGCGAGTGTTCATGTAAGAGTTCTTGGATGTCGTCAAGGTTTCTGAGAAGGCCCCTGACGTTCCATTGTATAATTTGAGTGTTCATGGTGAATGTGAAATAGTGCTGTGTGTACGAAAAGCGAGTGGCTGCTTAGACGGGGAGGCGACGAGTTCGATCTGAAGTGATGTGGACGCTTCGCGTAGGTGTTCAAGCTCAGTGTCTTTTGACTGGATTACAACCAGATCCTGGAGTTTGAATGGAAAGGATGTTGAGATGGAGGTTTTGGAGCGACTGTGGGTGATGACATCCATGCGATTGAGAGCGTCAGCTGGCGCGTTGTCAACACCGCTGATGTGGCGTATATCAATTGAAAACTCCAAGATGAAGGCGAGCTGGCGCATCTCGCGCTGTGCGTATAGTGAATCAGATTGGCCGATTAAATAGGTGAGAAGTTTGTGATCAGTGAAAATTGTAAATGAGCAGCCTTCAAGTAGGTGTCGAAAATGGCGCACGGCGAGAAAAATGATAAGCAACTCATGGCCGAAAATGCTGTAGTTTCTTTGGGCAGAGGTCACACGCTTGGAGAAAAAGGCAAGGGGCTGCCACTGATCGTTCACTTTTTGCTGGAGTACGGCCCCAAATACAGAACAGGATGCATTCGTCATGAGTGCCAAGGGTTAACTAGGACTGTGGTGCGTCAGGAGTGTGGCTTCAGCCAAAGCATTCTTTATGGAGTTGAAAGCTTCTTCCGCCGCAGTGTTCCATGGTAGTGCAGTTTCCGAGGGCTTGCCACAGAGCAAATCGTCGAGGGGCTCCAGCAACGTAGCACAGTTCCTAATAAATCAGCGGTAGAAATTTACAAGCCCTAGAAACTGGCGTGACTTGGTTATTAATGTAGGCTTGGGGAACTCGACGATTGCTTGCACTTTGTCAGGAAGGGGGCCAAGCGATTCCACTGCTGTCCAAGCGATGACCCAGAAAATCAAGAGATGACACTCCGAACTCATCTTTTACAGTGTTCACAACGATTCCGTTGGCCGACAGGCGCTCGAAAAGTTGACGAAGATGTTGGAAGTGCTCCTCGTGAAATGAGCTTGCCACCAGCAGGTCGTCGACGTAGGGGAACACAAACGGCAGACCACGTATGACCGTGTTGATGAACCGATGGGACGTTAGTGCAGCATTACGGAGGCCAAATGGCATTCTCAGGTACTTAAAAAGGCCAAATGGGGTGGTAGTTGCCGCCTTTGGAACATCTTCTGCAGCAACAGGAATTAGGTGAAAGGCTCTGACTAGGTCGATTTTAGAGAACACTATTGTGCCATGTAGAGCCACGGCCGGGCTAGACTGCACCTGCACGCTTTCGACTGTTTCGGCGAATTTGACGGTTTCGGCGCAGCTTGGCGCAACAGTCAGGAATTGTATCAAATTGGTGCAGCTGTTACACTCCTGAAAAAAGGAAGGAAAAAAGAAGAAAGAAAGAAAGGAAGAGAGAAGGAAAGAAAGGATGAAGAAAAAAAGGAAAGAAAGAAGAAAATGAAAGAAAGACAGGAAGGGAAATAGAAGGAAGGAAAAGAAATTAGGAAAGAGATGGAAGGAAAGGCAGACAGAAAGAATGAGGGAAAGAGAGAAAGAATGAAAGAAAGAAATAAGGATAGAAAGAGAGAAAAGAGAAAGCAGAGAAAGAAGGGTGGAAAAAAAAGATGGAAGGAAGAAGAAAGAGAGAAAGAAATGAAAGAGGGAAAGAAAGAAATAAAGAAGGAAAGAATGGGGGCAAGAAAGAAAAAGGGAAAGAGAGATAGAAGGATGGAAAGAAAGAAAAAAAGGACAGAAAGACAGATTGAAGGGAGGAAAGAGTAAGAGAGATAAAGGAGGGAAGGAAAGAAACGATGGAAAAGTAGAAAAAAAAGGACAAAAAGACAAAATGAAGGAAGGAAAAATGGAAAGAGATAAAGGAGAAAAGAAAGAAGGAAAGAAAGAAAGGATATAAAGCAAGAAAAAGAAAGAAAAAAGTAAGGAGCTGTCTATGGGATGCCAGCGGTCGCATTTCACTTGAGCTTCCCATTTTTTTTCTTCGCTTGCTGTTCCGAGAAAAGCGAAACATCCGCTGGCATGTGAACCAGTACACAAAGGCACACAGGAGCCTGTCACAAGAGCAAAGGACCACCCCACTTGGGTCACGCCCCCTAAAACTTCGCTCCAGCGGTCCCTGCCACCTCGGGCGCCTCCATTGCTGCGGCTGCCACCAACACGGACGTTTGTCGCGTCGCCGTCAAACTTCTGCCGTTTTGGGCAGAGGCGCCTGACGTGTGGTTCACTCAAGTCAAGGCGCAGTTTTCCACGGCACGCATCACCCAGGACCGGACGCGCTATGACTATGTCGTCGCCCATCTAGACTCTCGCTATGGGGCTGAGGTTCGCGATATACTTGCGAATCCCCTGGCTGATGACTGTTACCTACACCTGAAGAGGGAACTGATCCGCCGGCTCTCACCTTCACAAGACGAGAAGGGGTGTCACCTACTCCAGCACGAAGAACTCGGTGGCCGCAAGCCATCGCAGCTCTTGCGTTATATGCGTGACCTTTTGGGCACCCAAGTCGACGAGTCCCTCCTCCGTATCATCTGGCTTCAGCGTCTACCCTCACATGCGCAGGTCATCCTCCAGGTGCAGCCGAATCTGCCGCTGGACCAGCTCTTTCACATCGCTGATCAAGTCATCGAGATTCCATTGCCAGCATCGCCTCTCACCGTCAACGCCGTTGACACCCGACAGTCCAGCAGCGAGCTCGCGCACCGTGTCGACGAAATCACCCGTCAGCTGGACTCAATTCAAAGGCGCCTGGATCAAAGCCTGAAGCTGCGTCCACAAAAACGCTCCCAAAGCCAAGACAACAACGCCACTTCATCGCACGGAAACAGTAACGGCCCCTGCTACTACCATCGCCGCTTCGGGAACAAAGCCCGGAAATGTCAACCACCTTGCTCAGCTGGACATCAGGGAAACTTCAACGGCAGCCCATAGAGATGGCCGCGAGCTGGCAACTTAGAGGCCGTTGCATATTCGTCACCGACCAAGTCACAAAGCAGCGGTTCCTCGTCGACTGTGGCTCCGACATCTGTTGCTTTCCTCGAACCTTCCTGCGTGACAAGCGTCCTTGCACGTCCTTTGAGCTCAACGCGGCGAACCATTCGACCATCAAGACCTACGGCTCGATCCGCCTTAACATCAACTTCAAAAACCTGTGTCGAGATTTTTCATGGAATTTCGTCATTGCCGACGTCGCAGAGCCGATCATCGGGTCCAACTTCTTGGCGTACTACAATGTTCTACCTGACTGCCGATATGACCGACTTATCGACGCTACAACAGGCCTCTGCACGCCGGGCCAACGTGCAACCACCAAACAGCCTAACGTCAAGGCACTCACCATTGGGAACCAGTCGCCATACCATGACATCCTCGCAGAATTTCCCGACCTGACTCGACTTAGCGAGCATCCGCGAGAGGTGCGCCACTCAACCATGCACTACATTCGTACTACTCCCGGTCTCATGCTGCGCCCGTCGGCTAGGCCCGGACTGCCTACGAATCACACAGGTCGAATTCGAATCCATGCTCCGCGAAGGTACTGCCCGCCGCTCGGAGGGACCTTACGCCTCACCGCTTCATCTGGTACCAAAGAAGACCAATGGCTGGCGCCCCTGCGGAGATTATCGCGCCCTCAACGCCCGCACCGTCCCCGACAGGTACCCCGTCCATCATATACAGGACTTTGCACACCGCTTAGACGGCAGCACCATCTTCTCAGTGGTGGACCTCGTAAAGGCCTACACACAAATTCCTGTAAACCCGGATGACGCCCCAAAGACCGCAATTATCACGCCTTTCGGCCTATTCAAATTCCCTTTCATGAGTTTTGGTCTCCACAATGCGGGGCAAACCTTTCAACGCTTCATCGACGACGACGTCCGCGGCCTGGACTTCCGTTTCGTCTACCTAGACGACATCTTGATCTTCTCCCGCAACAAAACGGAATATCGCCAACACCTTCGTCAACTGTTCCAGCGCCTCGACGAACACGGCTTACGCATAAACGTTCAGAAGAGCACGCTCGGCGCCCCCGTCGTCACGTTTCTTGGCCATGAAATCTCTTCAGAAGGAACTAGACCCTTGCCTGACCGTATCCTGGCCCTGCAAAATTACGCGCTTCCTGCCACAGCAAGGACCCCGCCGTTTCCTGGGCATGTTCAACTTTTACAGGTGCTTCGTGCCTAAAGCGGCCACATATCAGGCCCCTCTCCATGATGCGTTGGCCGGCCAACGCGGCAACCATCCTGTCACTTGGACCCCAGCCTTAACGCAAGCATTCGAAGACTGCAAAACTGCCCTCTAAAACGCTACGCTGCTCTGCCGTCCCAAGCCAGAGGCGCCCCTGTGTCTTCTCACAGACGCTTCTAGCACCGCCGTCGGAGCCTCTCTCATGCAGCGTGTGGGAAACAACTGGTGCCCCTTGGCGTTCTTCTCGAAAAAACTCTCTTCCCCGAAGCCACCCCCGCCTTCCAGCAGCATCGGCGATGCAACCCCGCCCCCTGCGGAGACGACCTGGCCAGCCTACTACAGAGAGCTCCTCGCCATCTACGAAGCAGTCCAACACTTTCGCCACATTCTCGAGGCACAGCACTGCACCATATACACCGACCATAAACCTATCACTTATGCCTTCTCTTAACGCCGCGAAAAACTTCCATCGGTCTAGCAGAACCAGCTGTCCTTAATCGCTCAATTCACCACAAATATCCGCCACATCAGCGGAAAGGAAAACGTGGTCGCCGACGCACTCTCTCGCGTCTCAGCTGTCGAGCTACCAACCGTTACAACCGACACCAAACTCCAGCAGCTCCTCGAGAATGACTCTTCCCTTCAACTTCAAAAAGTTACCATCCCTGGGTCAACGGACGCTCTCTACTGTGACATATCAACAGGACGAGTGAGACCATACGTCCCTTCTTTGCATCACCAAAGCCTCTTCAACCAGTTACACAACCTCAGTCATCCCGGCATCCGAGCTTCTACACGCCTCGTGACTGACCGGTACGCGTGGCCCTCAATGCAACGGGACTGCCGCACCTGGGCACGCACATGCGTTCAATGCCAGCGCGCCAAAATCGCCCGGCATGTCACGTCGCCACTCGGAGAATTCCCCCTCTCGACGGAACGGTTACAGCACATCCACATCGACATCATTGGCCCCCTCCCACCAGCCAGCCCTTACCGCTATTGCCTCACCGCCATCGATCGTTACACTCGTTGGCCCGAGGTGTGGCCGCTCTAAAGGATCACAGCAGAAGACGTCGCATCAGCCTTCTTCTCCGGCTAGGTTTCATGCTTCAGCACTCCTCGTCGAGTCACCACCGATCAAGGAAGGCAATTCGAATCTCAACTCCTCAGGCTCCTCGGGCTCTCCACCGGGTTCGAGCGTTCACGGACAACTAACTACCACCCTTGCGCCAACGGGATGATTGAACGGTTTCACCGGCAGTTCAAGGCAGCCATCATGTGCCACCCTCACTTAGCCTGGCTCGAAGCCCTCCCCGCCGTCGCTCTCGGTCTGCGTGCAACTTTCAAGCCAGACATTCAAGCCACGCCTGTGGAACTCGTCTGCGGGGAGCCGCTTCGCCTACCTGGAGAACTCCTCTCCGCTCCGACCTCTAATGTAACCAGCTCGGACCCTGCAGACTTCGTCGCTCGACTCTGTCGCACAATGGCCGCGCTGCGCCCCTCACCACCAGCGACTCGCCACACCAAGCCGACCCCGTTCGTGTTTAAGGACCTAGCAACATGCTCGCATGCCTTCCTCCGCGACGACACCGTACGCGCACCTTTCCAGCCGCCTTACTCCGGACCTTACAAAGTCATCTGTCGTGACGACAAAACATTCACCCTGCAAATCAGTGGAAAGGATGTACGCATTTCCATCGACCGCCTAAAGCCATCATACATCCTTTCCCAGGAGCCTACCAATCCCCGCACGCCTCTCGCAATTCCCCGACAACAGCCCGCAACGTCTAGGCTCGCACCCTACACCACCCGCCTTGGACTCCAGGTGCGGGTCCCCAATCGTCTTCAACCCTGACGGCTCCTATCTGCGTGGGGGGGTGGTGTGGCAAAACGGGTCGGTGCCGCTTCTGTGCCTGCGCGTTGCGGCGATGCCTCCAAACACGGGCGCCGGTGATAAGAACACTCTCGCCCGAAAGAAGCAAGAAAACTGTGTGTGTGCTCCGATTCAGCGACAGTCATTGTAGAACCTTCAGTGCAAAAACATTAAAGTTATGTTATCCCACAGGCACTTCCTCAGCACGACCACTGACTGTGTGTGTCACCGCGTTTTTTTTTTGCGGCATGCCAACTCACGCTCATGAGTACACACTCACGTACACACTACTCACACTCATGTGTACTTATTCACATTCATGCTCACGCCTACTCGATCACCCTCATGTGTGCTCACTTACTTTTACACTCACGACTACTCAAAACTACGAGGGCTCACTCACGTCGACTCACACTCACAAGTACTCACCCACATTCATACTCACAACTACTCACACTCGGAGTACTCACTCACGTTCATATACTCACTCCTACTCACACTCATGAGTACTCATTCACGTTCATACTCACTCCTCCTCACACTCATGAGTATTCACTCACGTTCATACTCACTTCAACTAACACTCGAAGTACTTACTCAGGTTTGTACTAACTTTTACTCACACTCTGAGTACTCACTCATGTCCATACTCACCTTTACCCTCAGTCACTCTTACTCACTCACATTCATAATCACCCCTACCCACACTCACCACATTCAAATGAATATGAGCGAGTGTGAGTTAGTGTACTCATAAGTGAGTATGCTGAGCTGTGTATATATGTATATTTTTGTTGTACTGTAACTCCCATTCCATAGAACATGTGAGCCTCTTCAATTTTCACATGTGAGCGCTTGTAGGTGTTTTTGCAGAAAACATTTATTTTTGTAAAAGTGCTAATATATACTTAGGCTCCTTTTCAGCGCACATTGACCCCGAGTAGAAGCAAAAATACTTAGCCGCGGCTCAGGCATTGTAACGTGGCTGTGACATTGAAGAATGAAACAGTTGGCGAGTGTAAGATGAAACTATTTATTTGGGTGAACCTTTGCCCAAGAAATGCGAAGTTGGACTACAAATGACACACACTGTGCACTGATAGCCTCGCACAGAGTGTGAATCGTTGATAAACAGATCATTGCGGGGTCGTGCTGTCTTTGATGCTTCATGCATTGAACTTTCCAGCCTGCCCCGCCCCGATGGTCTAGTGGCTAAGATGCTCGACTGCTGACCCGCAGGTCACGGGATCAAATTCCGGCTGCATAGCCTGTATTTTCGATTAAGGCAAAAATTCTGTAAGCTCGTGTGCCCAGATTTGGGTGCACGTTAAAGAACTCCACGTGGTAGAAATTTCCGGAGCCCTCCACTACGGTGTCTCCCATAATCATATGATGGTTTTGAGATGTTAAACCCCACATATCAATCAATTGATCAAACTCCTCGCTGAGTCAACTTCGTCCTGCCATACCAATCACGAAAAAAAAGTCATAGCTTTGCCGCAAAGGTGAAGCAATGAATGCGATAGCAACGAATTGAAACATCACGTGAAAAATGGCAAGCAGATCGAAATGTGCCCTACATTGCTCATGCACAAATGATGCACAAAACGTACGCACAGGTACAGATGAACGTGAATAAGTGTCTCAGTAGTTACTTTGCCGTGTCTGAAAAGTGCGCTCTTTTCGCAAATCCAGACAGTGCAGCGAGTGCAGTAACCTTTGTGCGCCCGGTAACTACAATCGTTCCGGTTAAAGCCCAAGGCGTACGATTCTCCCCACCGCGAGATAAGCGCGCGTGCGCATAAGCGTCTACCAGCACCCCAACCCCCCCACCCTCTGCAGGGTGTTATGCCTGCGAGTCCGCAGCAAACGTCCATGCCTCGGAAAAAAAAAATCTTTGTCAAGGCCAGCACGCGAGCCCACCTGACGCGATGAACAGCTCAACGGTGTCAACACACGACGGCACCTTTCTGTCGCCCACGCACAGTGAGTCACCTCAGCAAGCGAGCCGTCGAGCAAGCAATCGGCGTCTTCCTGCCTGGGGGGGGGTGACGCAATGCCTGGCGACGTCACTTGTCCTTGGGTGCAGCCACCTGCAGCGCAGCCTCTCCAGATTCGATGAGAAAGAATGACGCGGCCCAGCGGTGACCCCATTGGAGGATTCTGACCTTACGACCAGCGGCGCTTCGGGTTGGACATTTGGGTTGGACCCGGTGCATATAAAAGAAGCCCTGCGGCGCGTTGCGAGCAGCAGTCCTATGTTAGCAGCAGACATGTGTGTCAGAGAAAAGAGCTATGTGATAGACAGTGGAGCTGTGTGTCAGAGAAGAGAGCTATGTGATAGAGAGTTGAGCTGTGTGTCAGAGAAGAGAGCTATGTGATAGAGAATGGAGCTATGTGTTAGCAGACCCATTTGAGAGCAGACCTATGTGTTAGAGAGGAGAGCTCGGCTCTTCGAGTCTCTGTCAGCCCCAGTGCCGAATTCGTAACGCCTCTGTATATATGCTGTACATAAACCTTGTTTAACTCACCGTCGTCTCGTCCACTCGTCTATCAGCTCTGCGCAGAAGCAGTCGCGAGCTGAGAAACCTACGCTACCAAACGGCTGGTGACCTTCTCGGCGGAGTTCGAAGCAGTGGCGCCTTCGGGACCGTGTTGGCGTCGCCGTCTTTCGCAACAGTGGTTGCAGCGGTGAGATTCGTAGCGCTCTTCGTAACGTCGTCGGAGGCGTGCTTCGTAACAAGGGCAAAGTATGCGTGAGAGATCAATGCATGAGCACGCATTGCCGCGTCGTGACGATCTGACGATGCAGGCTAATTGCGCCATCTCACTGGTACTGCTCAAAACACGATAATCCCCCCGAGATGGGCATCGCCAGCGGTAAGTAATAGATATAAAAAGATAGCCGTTTCAACGATGAAGGAGGTGCTACTTCGTGGCTCAGTGGCTAACGCCATGCACACACAAGCAAGAGGTCGGACGTTTGATTATACGCGCCAAAGACTTTTTCCAGACTATTTTTCTTTCTTATGTTTTAATATAGCACATAGATACATATACATATAGAATGAATGACGGGAGACGACGACGACGGAAAAAGCCAGCCGAGAGTGTCCATATAATTGATATCGCATTAAAATCAGCGCAAGTGAAAAAGAAACTGCCGTTCAAGAGTTCAAGTGAATGAGCCGTAATTACGACGAAATACTATTCTTCATAACCTTTAAAACTTTAAAGTTCTTGTACGTTTTAACAGTTGACAGCATGACCTGATATAAACATAAGAATATGAGCATCAGGTGGACCTTTACAGCTCATTGACAACTTCACCTTGTTCACCGAGAGGTCGGCATACATTGCGTTACCGAACAATTTCAGCTATTGGGCATCATCTGTGGCTTTCATTTATCGTTTCTATTCCTAATTACTTTTTTAACTATATGCGACACTCCTGCTTTTGTATTCAGTGCAGAATTATGGCTCGCAAGTTCAAAGCACTTTTGAAATAATTTCTTTCATTATTTCTGCGCTATACCTTTATAGTTCTGTCCACATGGTGCTTCCGCGACATGTTCACCCAAGGACATCACAGTTTCTGCGATTGTGCAGCATGTTTCTTTGCCTTATTTTGGACATTATATATAATGATCTTTGCTCAGTTATTGACATCGATTGCATATTTAAATGCACGTTTGCAAGCTTTTGTGTAAGCATACTGCTCACTGTGTTTCCGGTGGACTACGTTTTGCCAGTAATCGAAATGTACTTTCCCATTCTTGTTTTTTCCTGGCCGCAGCATGAGTGCAAGGAGATTAACATTTTTGTATAAAGAATCTGCAATAAAGTAGTTGTCCTCGTCCTGGTTAATTTGTGGGGTTTGTTATTTTGTTATCAGGCTCTTGAGTTTAAAATTAATGCAGTTTCAAAGATTATATAATAATCCTGATATTTTGTTTCTATCACATATAAAAAAACACCTTAATTGAAAAATATTGATGACAGTTATTTCTGAAAAGATTTTGGGCGCATGCCATCATAATATTTCTTATGAATATTTTTTCTTGTTCTAGATCATGCGCCACATTCAAGAAGTGATTTGCAGTATCGAATACAAATTGGTACTGATAATGCATCTGTTATTCATGTACTTAGTGTTTCGAAAAATTCAATGAACAGGCCGTGCTGAAATGTAAGCCTCCTTCCCCCCCCCCCCGAACAACATTCCTGGGAACACCACTGGTAGAGTTGGCCTTGGTAAGCAGAGTTGAACAAATCAAATTCATTGGCAAAAAATACTACATATTTATTGACTCTTTTTCATGTTTTTGATGTAAGAAACTTGGTTCCAAACACATAAAATAAAGCCATAAAATAAGCAACCTAAATGCACCAAGAGGTAATCAAACAATATTACTCCATAACTTGACTATTACAGTTGCTGTGTCACCAAGTTACTGTGGTACTTGTATTATAAGCTCTATAGCATTATCAGAACAAAAAACCAGGGCCCTTAGCTGCATTGTCTGACATTCTCAGATACCAAAAGACTGCTCACTAAATATTAAAGATAAGTATCACAAATTGAAATGATCAACATAGAGTACAAAGTCATAGAATGTCTCTCAATGAAATGGAACATGAAACCTGGATGAAGAACAAGCACATAATTTACATTTTGTCTTCTACTCCTTCCTTTTTGCACAAAACAGTAATGTCTATCACAATGCACTAGACTTCAATGTCAAAGGCTTTGCAGATGATGACAAAATGGATGAGATTAACACATTAGAATAGCAATGCTCCTTCAGATAGTCAGGACCTTTCTCTTCATACTCTGCCCTTTTGATAGCGAACTTGCTGAGAAAATCTCTTTGCATAGCACATTGCCTTGCACCTCTCCAGCTATCTGAAGCAGGGTTTTCTGAAAATGGGAAAGGAGTTTTACATAAGTAGGGCAGCATTACTAATAATGTGCAATGGCAGCATAAAAACAATGCAGAGAACTTCTGCAGATAAAACAAATTTGGGAACACGGAAGTCCAATCGAAACATAGGATTCCAGATGAAACGAAAGCAGCTTTACCTTGTAGCCAGTGTTCTGACAAGGCGACATTTATTTACCAGGTTGATCGAACATGCGTGTCCGTACTATATTTTTGTTTTGTCTCATTTTTTATATGCTATGTCAGTATATTTGAGGTGCACGGAATCGAAAACATAATTTCCAAAAACTGACCACAGCGTGCCAAAAAAGATGTATGAAGGTGACAGCGCCCGCGTCTCGCTATTCCTTGCCACAAGTTGTTTTTTTATTTCGGATGTGAAATAAGTGCACACTATAAACGTTATATCAAAAATTTTCTATTCTTGTTTTAATACACATCACAGTGAATTATAACCATGCTTTTTTAAAGCTGTCTACAGAACCAAAAATTTATGAAAAAATGGCATACTCGGTCAAAATAAAAAAGTTTGGTATCTTTGATGCACGTTGACACATTGCTTATTTCACACAAAATGATAGTTATAATGCGAGAACTGAACGATGACAAAGAGACAAGAAGGACACGAGCGTTTGTCTCTTTGTCGTCGTTCAGTTCTCGCGTTATAACTATCGTCATGTCATACCAACTAGCCGAAATGCCACACTTCTAAGTTCAGGCAAAAATTTTTAAAAAGTGCCAATATAGAGCAATATCTTTTTCAACATTCCTACAACAGATTGTTTCCTTAGATGCAGCATGATGGAAAAAAAAAGTCAATGAAGCCAATTTTTTCAAAAAGAGCTCATTTTTGAAAAAGGAAACAGAAGAAAAACCCCAGTCCAAATTTTAACCTAAATTTTTATCCAAGTTTTCTTATGTCACTCAATACATGGTTTGAATAATATATGTCCTCATTTGCTTTGTTCATGAAATACAGCAGGCCAAAGTGGCCTTTGCTGAGGGTGCTTGGTTCATGGCCCTTAATGGTTGTCCATGAGCCTGCATTCTATGACCCTGCATGAGCCTGCTATGTTGTCACAGTGTTTGGTGTGGAAATCTCAAGGTGGCATCTCTGTCCACATTTTCTTGTATACCGAGCATCATGTCGCAGTAAAAGTGGTGTTTTTGAGATCGTGAAATGATAATTCACTAACATGCGAAAAATCGTTTTGCTTTTTGATGCCCCTTTAAGGATTTGTTCTAGTTTTTGCAAGCATTAAAGACGGTCTACTTCAGCGACTAAAAACAGTTTGAGGCCAAAGTACCATAATAGCTTTAGAATTCAGCTGCACAACTCAACAGCACCTTGGGGGGGAAAAAAAAGACAAAAAAGGCTCAGCAAAAACATAATGGTGAATTTAAGTGCAAAAGGAGCCCTGACTACGTTTTATTATACATAGAAGAGGATCTGCTGAGCTTCCAGGCAGGCCACCCAGCCTCTATCTTGTATGAATGGCAAAGTAGCCAGCACATTGTTAATCACAATGTTACCTTCGCAAAGCAGTTATATTTGCTAGCATCATCACTATTGGGATGAGGCTAACACCCCTGTCACATGGGCCCCCGCGAACACCGTTTAGCTCCTTCGTCCTTACGACAAGGGAGATGCAGTCCGTGTCACATGGCAACCCTTACGCAAACAAAGGTAAACGGAGCATTTCGCAAAGGACGTTCGACGATCTCCCTTTGTAGCGGAATAAAGTACTCTCGTTGCCAGTATCGGCAAGTCAGAAAAAAATTTTTAGCACTAAACTGCCGCAGTGACAACAATAAATACATTTTGGCAATATTAAACGTTCTTTTGTTGCAGTACTCATAACGTGTATTTCTTTGGCGCATTGTGGAGGGCATCGTCCATGCATGTGGTTGTTGTCGCCGTGTTTGCGAGGACCCGGGAGCGGAATGGCTGACAGCGCTGCATCATTGTCCTCTGCTTCGACGACTGCAGGAATCGGTAATGGGACCAGACCTAATTCAAGGGTGACTTGGAATGCGCTCAAGAGGGAAGGAAACACAAAAACTTTGGTACACGGGCTACAAAACCAACTAGTCGTCGAGCACAGCGCAATTATAAACAAACATAGCGTTAGGCACAAGGTGGCCAGTGTCGCTGCCAGCATTGCTACAAATAGCGAATGTGTTTCCATTTGAAATAATCTTTAATGCTTTGTTGCCTTCAGACGTATTTAATATTGTGTTTTTGTAAAAACGGCATAAGGAAGGTTGACAAAAAAAGCACCCAGAGATGAAATTGGGATACTTTTGTGAAGCTCAAACAGTGCCGCCTGAGCTCCCTCGCAGCAACTATTGCAACCTTGTCATTGCCGTGTGACACTGATACAACTTCATCTCCGTCGAACTAACTAGTGGAGCTTTACATTGACGGAGTTTAACAGAGTTCGGTGGTGGCCGTGTCACAGGGGTATTAGTCCAGCAACTACTGTGATCATTTAGTTTCAATGTTTCCTTGATGCTGAATTTCAAGCATATGTGACCAAGCACACTCTACTTACTTGCTAATGTTATTGTGAAGAGAGACTGAAAGGGACGCATAGCCAGGAGTTCTGCACACAAACGTTCACGAACACCTGGAAGCTGTGCTGGGCTACCGGTCACAAACACATTCTGCAAAAAGAAACCCCAACACATGGTATGCAACAGTAACACTGAGAAATCGGTGTGACCAGAGGAAGAATTACTACAGAATGGTTACGTACTTCAGCACGTATTATAAGCTTGAGCCCTTCAATAAGTAACTAAATAAACATTGCAACATTAGACTTTCCTTGAGAGCCCTACCAACTTTTTATTTCAATAGCATACAACTAACTTAACCAGGCAGCAGGCAGCACTAAAGTGCATTGAATTCCAACTGCAACAAACACATCAATGCACAAAAGAAAGTTATATATATATATATATATATATATATATATATATATATAAGGAAAGAAGTGTAGTGTATAGCCAAGGGCTCGTTTTTCCGTGTTTTTACACAATATTAATGAGATCTAACAGACAATAATGCCAAAGAAAGTATAAGGGAAGACATTAGACCGAATTGTAATGTGAATAAATAGGAGCCGCCGAACACATGAGGGTAGAGTTTTTCACTAAGGTGAAAGTCTCAAAGGATCAACACAACTAGTAGAATCGATTTCAGTTAAAACAACTTGCGTATGTCGTCTTTGGACACACGTGAATAAACGGGACGGCGCAGCTGGCTGCCGCAAAAGCGCAGGTCAAAGCTTTGCTCAACACTAGATTCTTTTGGCAGGAACGCCGAAATGCGTCTGGCCCCTTTTTATTGCGATAGCAATTATATAGACAGTCCAGGCTTTTTTTCTCTTTTTTTTTTACCGTCGCCACCATTGTCATTCTTCACTGTATATGTATACGTACCTATATATATGAACACTTAAAGAAAAAAAGCCCCCTGCGCTCGCCGCCGCGCTCATTGTGATGCGCCGACGCTTGCTTATCTCTCCCGTGTACTTTGCCCCATGGATGGATGGATGCCTGTGCAATCATGTGCCTTCGGCTTTGACTGAAACGAAAGTGTTAGTTGCCGGGGCCACAAAGGTCACGTTCTCTGCACAGGCCCCTTTTGCGAAAACAGTGCGCTTTATTACACAGCGAGGTATAACAACTGGGACACTTGTTAGTTTGTACTCACCTGTACCTGTGACTACGTATCATGCATCATTTTTGTTTAAACAGTGCATTACGTGTTGAGCGGTAAACGTTGTTAGTTCGCTCTCGTCCTGCAAGTATCGTTTTCGTGCGTCATTTGTGTGTGAGCAGTGCGCTGCACGTTTCGATCTGCTTGCCGTTTTCAATAATACATTCCAAGTTGTTGCTGTCGCACTTATTGCTTCGCGCTTGCAGGGAAACTGTAACTTTTTTTTATTTTTACGTATTTACTGCCTTTAACCTACCGCTGCGTGCCCTCGGAGCTCATAGATCGCTATCGTGTCGCCGCGACCACGGTTTCGTTCGCGGCGGTTGCGGCAAATGGTAGATCATTTTACAACTCCCATGTGCTTGGCTGTGCACGCGCCTTCAAAAATAAGTCGTTTTATGCCATCTAAGATAGCATCTGCCGCAGAGTTTGCGTAAAGCAGTGCTGCACTGGTTGAGCGCACACTTTCGGGGTTCTGTCAGTTACGTCGTCATCATACATGATCGTGTCAAGAGCGACCGCGGTTTCGTCCACAGCGGTTGTGGCAACGGCAATCACACGCACTGTAAAAGACAGTGCGTGCGCCGGTCGCACGCGTACTTGCGAAGCTTCGAGTACGCTGCTCTCGGCCATCGTTCGACGGCTTGCGTACTAAAGTACGTATCACCCGCCGCGATTAGGAAATGTTTTCGGAACGTTCAAATATAGGCCCAATGAACATAGTGGAATTCGGCTTGGGGATTTTCAAGCATTCATATCTGCCGCGGTTTCGCATGACTGAGATAATACTCTTCGTTTACATGAACGCCTTTTAAACTCATAATAAAATGGGGTAGGTTCGAAAAGCCTGGAGCCGATTGAGCTGCTTTTTTGTCAATGCCGCCAGATCACGCACAGAAATTTCGATTTCTGGGAGATTTTCACGACAACCGTACAACCTGAAAAAAAAAACGGTCGAAATCCGGGAGTCTCCCGGCCAATCTGGGATACTTGGCAAGTATGATTCTATTTTCTGAATTAATTAGTCACTAACGAGCTTTTTACTATATCATAAAAAGAAGAAAAAAAGGAAAGATTACAGTATGTTGTGGTCAATAAATGACAGTGCAGGTGTGCTAGTTTAGTTTCCATTGTTGATATTTTTGTATTGCTCTGTGTGTTACTGCAAGTTGATAAATATCTTATGTGCTCCCAACTCTGGCCCTTTCATTGTGTTCAATTGCATAAGAAATAATTAATCGGCTAGTCAAAAGTCCCTGTCACTGTCAACGTGGTAGTATTTCAGCTAAATAGTGATTCCCATGGTAGTGTTTCATGAACAATATGCAGCACAGTGGCAGTTAAATCAATACAAAGAGTATGGAGGGGGTTGAATTCAACCGATGACTTATGTCCTCTGCCTTCTTTTTTAACACTTCATGGTCATGACTTACAAGAACAAAAAACGTTTATAAACTTGTATGGTGCCTGAAGATAACACTATTAAGAATAATGTAGTTATGTAAAGCATGTAAGCAATGTCTCTTAGTGTGATATGCCCTAGAACCTTACATCTGTTTTGTCAACACTTACAGCAGTCATTCTACTGAATTAAAACAAAACTATCATAATGAACAATTATTAGCATGACACTGCTTCAAAACAAAAATAAATAACTACTGTTTTTTGTTTTTTTTTCTTCTCGCGAACGATGCAGTCATATTGATGGAAACATGGAATACAAAAGTGAACTTATTACCTGAGCCAGGAAAGACTGCTGTTCTTTAGTGTATCTGGAGAACACAAACTCCAAGGTCTCGGCAACGCCTGCCTGTTCCACGCCAATTATGCTTGGCTGAAAAAGAATCTCTGTTGCCCTGGAATACATACACAGAAGAAAAAGCCACAGTAAGCAATCTCTAAATTCTTGAATTCTTGTGACCTTTTAATGTTATGCCTGAATCAACAAAACTTCATTACTGAGTCAATTTTCAACACTAGTACAAATGCGACTTGTGCTTATAACCTCGACAGCGTTTGAAAACAGCACAGAAAAGCACTGGGTATGTAAGGTTGAATCAATTTTTACGTGTCTCCCAGATTATTTTATGACTTGTTGGAAGCACACTGACAACATAGAGAAAAGCCCATTGCGCCCCTTTTGCCTTGTCTCTCTGTTGCTTTTACTAACCCACATAGAATGCAACCCATTCCCCAGACACGCAGGAAGGGCCATCGATCTGTCTTGACACGAGGACAACCTTCTCGATCTTGAAGCAAAGAAAGGAGTAAAATGGAAGAGTGGCGCCGAAAGAGAGATGCCCTCTCTGGTGTGGCCTGCCTACGTTACGGTCACTTATTGACCCTCACGCATGATTGATTGACCTCATCACTTGAAAAACCTCTGACAGCGAAAGCTTTCTTTGAGACTTTTTTAAAGCAATTTGAAGCTTTGCATCAGATAATAGCAAAATTGAATCGTAAATGCCTAAATGTGTTATATAATTAATGCTGGCATCAATAATTCAGACTGATTCTGCATAAATTCAAAACGCCCACCTAAATACCATGAGAGACTGGTGCCCCACTGTGGAGAAGCATCCGAGACTTATGTAACTCAAGCTCTGATGCCGCTGAACGCGCTGTTTTCAAATAGAGAGACCCGTTGGCAGTAAATAATGAAATGATGTGGGTGCTTTGAACTTGTCCCCTTCAGAAAAAAGAAAAGCCTTCCTGGTGTAAGCACCCAAAACCACCTTTAAGAGCAGCCCAACTACCAAGTGGGAGGGGTGACAAACAATGGTCCTCGCCCGGTGCCAGTCAGGGTATTGCACGCGCCCCGCAAATGTTCTCCGACGTCGACAATACTTGCCTTACTCATGCAATGTCACGCGAGGCCTCTGTCTACGTCAAACCAGAGATGATGTCAATTGGTGCTGATAACTGAGACGAGCGCTTGCCCTTGCTTTAAAACCAAATTCAATTATTTTAAAGGCAATGCTAGTCACTAATAATTGGTCAGAAGTTCCACCGCATGCAAGACTGTCGACAACATAAGCGTATAAAGTTTCCAAATCTGGTGTCAGAGGTTCTCTAAATGTACCAGTTGAATGAAGTAAGCCTATTTTTATTGCATATATAGAGTGGAGTTCAACCAATGTTGTTTATTTTACTTCTCTAGTAGCAATGAATTGTTATTTAAATATGCACTGCAGGTTGCATGCATTATTAGATTAAACCCACCATGGCTGTGATTGCTTGCACTGCAGGTTGGGGATGCAGGATCTACGAACTAGATCTGATCAGGCAACCAGCAGGGTCAATTCAAACAACTGTGTACTGCAACAAGAGCAATAGCAATACTAACAGACATAGAGGAAACATGCTTTCTAACTAGGATAACTCAGCTGACTTGGCAAAGCAACGAGGTTGCCCCACATTGGTAGCAGCCAGCTGGTATCGGTTTCAGTGGTCCACATTGCACCAGGAAATACAAGTTTATCTTGGGCACACTATTTCATTTTTATTTTTATTTCCTTCTGCAAAGTGGCTTTTCTCCCAGCAAGACGGACATCCTCCCTCACGAGTATGCCGGAAGGGGAGCACGCGTTGCAATGTGACAAGGGTTACAAAGATACTAAAGAAGCGTAGCGTATCTTTCCCTATGTCACTACTTGCTTCTCTTCAATGCAGGCTGCAATATGTGATTGCGGCAACATGGTGAACTTCGTCTGCATGTGGGGTACAGACAGACTATTATGTCATGAGCAGCTTTTTTTTTAACCAAAATGTTTTTGTGTTTAGTGCACACAGGCATAGTCATATAAAAAAGCCTATTAAGGCTTGACATTTCTTAGAATAGAAGTTAAGAATGTCTTTGTAGTGTGTATTCCATGGGATGTGTCATTGCTGCCAGTGGCGAGGCAAAAGGGGGAACCTTAAAAGTAAAGTCTTTTTGGTTAAGGGAAAAGATTACTTCAAAAACATTTTCAAAAAGTTCTGAGTGGATCTTAAAGGGACACTAAAGGCAAATATTAAGTTGATGTTGATTGCTAGAATAGCAGTCCAGAAACCTTGTAGTGCTACTTTTGTACCAAGAAAATGCTTTTTTAAAAATAAAATCACATTTTAGTGATTCGCACGGCATTAGTGCACTTCAATTTACCCGCCTGAAAATGGGCCTCGTGACGTAGCAGTTGCCTTGCCTAACGTTGCCCGCCTTTACTGCATGGTTGCCGACACTAGTAAGAGCAGAGCGAAAGTAGCGGGAGCCACAGCAGCAATAACAGCCACTGAAGGTTGCCACAAGAATGTCGATGTTCAACCTGACAATGAGACATTGGCTCGCGCAGAGGCATGGCGGTCAGCCGCTCCGAGTGTAGGGGTTCGTTTCGCAGCATCCAGTGGAAAGCCGCGTCTGTTTCTCTGCTGCTACTCAAGCGTCGTACACAATTCATCACCATCATCGTCAGCTTGACAACACCCACTGCAGGACAAAGGCCTCTCCCATATTCCGCCACTCAACTCCGTCCTGTGCTTGCTGCTGCCACTTTATACCCGCAAACTTCCCCATCTCATCTGCTCACCTAACTTCCCGTCTCCCCTCAACCGCTTGGCTTCTCTTGGAATCCAATATGTGATCCTTGATGACTAGCAGTTATCTTGCCTTCACACTACGTGCCCAGCCCATGACCATTTCTTCTTCTTGGTGTCGACTATGATGTCCTTAACACCCGTTTGTTCCCTGATACACACTAATCTCTTCTTGTCCCTTAGGGTTATACCTATTATTTTTCTTTCCATCGCTCACTGCGTCGTCTTCAACTTATAAGTCTAACCCTCTTGGTCATTCTCCAGGTTTCTGCTTCGTAGGTAAGTACTGGCAAGATGCAGGTATTTCTACCTTCCTCTTGAGGTTTAGTGGCAATCTACAAGTCGTGGTTTGAGAATGCTTGCCGAATGTGCTCCACCTCATTTTTATTCTTCTAGTTACTTCAATATCGTAGTTCCGCTTCGCGGTTACTACCTGTCCTAAGTATGCGTACTTTTTTACAGCTTCAAGTGCACTGCTACTTTTTTGAAGCACTGTTCTCTTCCGAGGTTGTTGTACATTACTTTCATTTGCTGCAGATTAATTTTAAAAACTACCTTTCTACTCTAATTGTCTAACTCCATATCATGAGTTGCAATTCGTCCCCTGAGTTAATCAGCAATGCAATGTCATCGGCGAAGCCCAGGTTACTAAGGTACTCTCCATTAACTCTTATTTCTAAGTCTTCTCATTCTAGGCTTCCGAAAACCTTCTGTAAGCATGCAGTAAATAGCATTCGGGAGATCGTATCCCCTAGTCTTACACCCTTCTTTTTTTGATATTGTTACTTTCTGTATGAAGCACCATGGTGGCACTTTATCCTCTCTAGATTTCTTCCAGGGTGTTTATATGTGTTTTGTTGATGCCCTGATTCCACAGCGTCTGCATGACTTCTAATATCTCTTCTGAATCAAATGCCTTACCGTGATATATGAAGGCTATGTATAATGGCTGGGCGTATTATGAGCATTTCTCGATCACCTGATTGATAGTATGAATGTTGTCGATTATTGAGTAGCCTATTCAAAATCATGCTTGTTTTTTTTGGTTGATTATATTTTAATGTAGTCTTAATTTTGTTAGCAATTAACTTTGCACATAGCTTGTATACAATGGACAGCAAGCTGATCGGCCTGTAATTCTTCAAATCCTTAATGTCCCCTTTCTTATGAATTAAGATGATGTCGGCATTCTTCCAAGATTCTGGTACCCTCATCGTCAGGAGACACTTCGTAAACAGGGTGGCCAGTTTTTCTAACCTAATTTGTCCTGCGTCTTCCAGCAGATCTGATGTTACCTGATCCTCACCAGCAGCTTTGCCTCTCTGCATTCCCTCCAAGGCTTCTTCTGACTTCTGTTATCACTGGTGGGATGTCATCTGGTTTACTGTTAGTTTTTACACTATGGTCGTAATTGTCCCAGCTACTGTACAGATCTCTGTAAAGCTTTTCTGCTATTTTTATTAACTATCCTATCCATGTTCGTAGTTACTTTGCCTTTCTTATCCCTTAGTGCATACATCTGGTTTTTGCCTATCGCAAGTTTCCTCTTCACCTCTGTGACGCTTCTTCCGTTCTTTAGAGCATGTTCAATTCTCTATTTTACATCTTCTTACATCAGATACCTTAAGCTTATTAATCAATTTCAAAAGCTCTGCCAGTTCTATTTTGTCTGCTGTGTTTGAGGCTTTCATGCTTTGACATTTCTCAATTAGGTTCTTGGTCTCCTGGGATAGCTTGCTTGTGTCCTGTCTAACTACTGCATCTCTAACTTCCACTGCACACTCTGTAATGATACTCGTTAGATTATCATTAATTGCATAAACGCTAAAACCGGCTTCCTCGATAAGAGCATAGTATCCATTGTGAAACGAGATTCTTAATTCCTGTGCTTTCCCTCTCAGTGTGGGGGTACCCACGCTAGCGCAGCAAAAGCAGACGTTTACAAATTTTGAGTGCGCATAACACGTATAAGAGCATATTTTTAACAGTTAACCTTTGACGGGAGGGTAAAATAAGGCCTGCACGGATGTAGAAAATTCGTTAATGCAGGATCGCTGTCCAAAAACATTTCGTTGCTGCGAGATACATAATACATCAGCTTCTATGAACTTTCGTCAGCATCCGGAAATATGGTATTTCGTTGCCGCGGGGATTTCGTACTCGCGGGGTTTCGTTATTACGGGTTTCGATTGTACATCCCATTTAACACCCTCTAGTTCCACAAATAGCTCAGCTAGACTTGCCTGACTAGATAAGGTTCTAGAGTTAAACGTTGCCAAGTTCAGGTTCCAAAGCCGGCCTGTCCGGACCGAGAAATTCTTAGCACCCTGTGCTGCTTCGCAGATCTGACCACCACCACGGTCAGTTGTTTCGCAGCCACTGGGGACTGAGGGCCGAGGGTTAATTGCCGTATATATGTGGGAGTTAGTGGCCAGATACTGCACCAAGGTGAGGGCGTGCGTTATCGGCGGTAGTTACCAGTAAGACCGCACCTCAGGACCCTTAATGTAATTCCATTGTCACGTGAATAATTTAAAAAAAAATCCATTTGGGGAATCGCACAGCGCTAGGATTCAAAGCGCGGACCTTTTTCATGCAAGGCTGATACTCTAACCACTACGCCATCGTTGCATCTGAATGCGCATATATACCCTATAAAGTGGACAGGGGGATGACCGCCACTGTAGCTCAGTGGTAGAGCAGCGAATGCATTATTTGAAGGTCGCAGGTGCAGATCCTGCCAGTGGCAAGTTATCTTTTTGTCCACTTTTCTTTCTTCACCTTTACATTACAATTATTTCGAATAACATCCCCTTACTTTTCCTGGCATTATTGTTTAATAGTTCTCATTAATAAGCTGTGACGATTCTACAAAAATCGGGACAAAGAAAAATGTGATTCAGAAGCACAACCACATATGCAAGAGGCCCCAATTTTTTTTTTGTGTGTGTGTGTGAGAGCAATTTTCATACTGTGAACATGACTCAATGGTACTTCAGAGTCTTACTTCACTAAAAGGGAAGAAACTTTCAGAAACCCTACATTTCCACGGTTGACATAAAATTCACCATGAACGAAGCTGTACTTGACTCCATGCCAACATACTAAAATCCCTGCATTTTGCATTTCCTGGCAACCACAAGTTTTCATGTAAACTTGCGCCTTGTAGCAGCACAGCATACAAACAAAAATAATAAAATGACTGCCACAGGTCATTGGTACTCTGAAGAAAAAAAAAAAAGGACATTTCAAGACAAGAGTGCGCAAAGGTTTTAAAAAGACAGTTGTATAGGCTCAAACAAACCTGATCCTTTCCGTTCCTAGTTGAAGTTGATAATGCTCTGCAATGCTTGTACCTACTTGATCAGCACCAAGTTGTTTTCTGAAACAAAGACCAATAATGAAATTGTTCAAGACACCATGCTACCTCAAATTAATAGTGAGGCCCTCAATAATATGTATCACAGGCAAACAAAAACTGTGGGTTCCACTTAAAAAAACAGCTACTTTTTAGGACTCTCTCAGACATACAGTAGGATCTCGATGATACGAATTCGAAGGGAGCACGTAAAATATTCGTACCATCCTGAATTTGTTTGAACCAAAAACTGATGAAGGTGAACAAGAACTTTATTGGGGTCAACTACTTCTCACTGAAAAAAGTTCATGGTGCTCTTTCGAACTTTCCTGCCTTCACTGCCTCTAAATAATTAAGTGCTGCGGTTTCCTCACTCATGCTGCTGGTGCTTAACTCTTGTGTTACCACGCCTATTCAAATCGATCACCAGTGATCGACATTGTGGATTGTCGATTTTGGCATTTTAAATTTGCTTCTGGTGTTCCCAGCACTTTCTGGTATTTAGTCCAGCCACTCAACTTTCAGGATCAATCTGAATTAGCTTGTTTTGGCAACATGGTGATTTTTGGCAGACCTTTGTGCACGCCAATGTGCGTGTGTTGTTGGAAATATGCACAAGGCTGGTGAACTTGACAAAAGTGCATCTCCCTTGTGATTATGCTACTGTAACATCGAAGTTATGTAATAAAAGGATCTTTGCAAGCCAAATATTGAATTAAAGTGTGAGCTTTGCAATTTGGCAGTGTTGAGCAGTAATAATTGCCAGGAATTTATGCCAGCTATTCAATAGAGAGCGGTTGCTAGGAGTCGGGGAAAATTTATTATACAAATAATATTTCCAAAGGTCCGCCGCATGTTGAAAGAGTTGAGGAGGCCTTCTCAGCCAGTTTTCAGCAGCTTTGGTTTTGCTTGTATTGTTATATTAGACACAGGTTTGCATCTAGTATCACTAGTCGCTCCTATGGCGTCATCGTCACGCGTGCATGGGCGTGCACTAGCGCTGAAAAACACACGTGCCGCTCGAAACTGCCACACCTGAATTGAGTGAGGAGAGTTTAGAGTTTGAGGATGACAGCACCTCAGCTTTAAGTTTTATGGCTACGGTGTTTTGCGTCAGCCTCAGACATCTGCTGCCGTTCATGGGTTTGTTCTGTTTACGATGTCAAGTTGTCTCCTCCTCTGCATGTGCATAGCTGCGGACCTTTGTGCGCAATCCTATAGTTACTCTGGTTGCTTATGAGGTCCACATTTCACCAGGGAGCGGTGTGCTGGCGCCAGCTGCAGAGCTTCTCCTAACGACATCAAGGCCACGGGAGCACATCTTGGCTCTGACTATGGAGCAGTACGAAACATTTTAGAACTGCGGGTGATATTCTTCTTTCTTTGATACGATGTACAAAATGCTAAGAAATATGCTTGGATGCATATCTCAACCTATGCAGAGTAAGCTGGTTCATGGATAGAAGTGACGCTAGACAAAATAGCAAAGTTCATAGGACATTTGATTTATACAGGAATTTTTCACATCATGGGCATCTGCCTATATTAAAAAACCTGAAGGCTCTTATCACAAAAAAAAAAACACCGAGAAAAGTGTACGAGTTCACTTGTGTCTCCCAAAAAACCAAGCAAAGCTTCACCACATGGCACAAGCAAGGAAGCAGCACCTCAGTTCTGATTTTCTTTGTCTATTTGAATAGAAACATACTGTTCTTGGGTCATTTATCTTCAAAATGTATATTCTCAATATTATTTGTTATGAATATTTTTGTATTTAGTGTTTTTTATTGTACTGTTTACCAGCTGGAAACCGAAAATCACACACTTTTCACATTTTTATTCACTCCAAAATATTTTTTGTTGCTCCAGAGCATATATTTTTTGGAAAGAGCATTTCATTGAGTAAAACTTGGTATGTTGCAATGCGTGCTTTAGTTCTTTTCAAACTGACAAAAACAATCTTCCTGAGACATATAAAGAATAACCATTTTCACATAACGAAAGAGTTAAAACGCATTGACATTTGACATCAAAGGGAGGGAAAGCGGCAAAACATATTAGAAATTCACTCGCTTCGCTGCTTAAGTCGCCAGAAAAACACCTCGTGAGGTCGGCAAAAAAAAAACACAAAAAACAAGAAAACAGTCACACGGGATAATTTAAGTGAATATGACAGAGTGGCCGTAAAACCACATTCGCACCCGTCGAAAATTATCACATTTGTTCTGCCGACCGCCACCGCCTTCACCGCTTCGGAATTCATTCCATTTGGCACATTTCCTGAGCATTAAAATTCGTACCGAGTTCTAGTTATGCATTCAAAGCAACGAAAACAACAGTTTACACCTGTACAAACATTGTTTCAGGAGATATGCCAGCAGAAATGACACAAGCGGATGCACCAGCAGCGGCGGTGACAGATTCAGCCGGCGGTAGAAAAGCGAGACAGGTTACGGCATGCCGACTCACTGCTGCTGCACCTTCTTCTACATCTGGTGTTCGCGGTAACCATAATCTTAACCAAGCTCTCGATGAACGCGTCCTTGTCAAGTCCGTGAGCATTGTCGTGCTGTGTGGGTAGTTCGCAATTGCGCAGGCGCGAGCCACCGGCGATGCCTTTGCAGCCACGTTCAATTTGCAGCTCGTTTACATTACCTTGTTTGAGAGCTAATGCAGCCAGTGTAGCGAAAGCCACAAAGCTAAAAGGCGATCTGCTATCGCGTGGGGGAAAAGTTGGTCTCGGGCCGATTTATTTCCGGCCACCTAGGTGGCGAAGCAAGGGAAATTCTCGTGAGTTTTGCCACGTTCACTGCCTTCATGGCCCAGTGTGAACGGGCCTTCCTCCCCCAGACAAGCCAAGTTGCGCAGTTCACGCGCAGCGGTCAATCGCGCATTAATATCATTCGCGGTGGCTGGAGAAATCGTTGATGTAACACCGAATCAACATATTTTATATAATATAATTCATTCAAAGCAACCTTCGAATTTGCATCATCGCGAAATTCATATCAACCGTAATCAAAGGTTGCGGTTTGTGGTCGTAATGACACATTATGATTCTACTGTGCCAGAAAATTTCCCAATATGGTAGTTTAATTATGGGAATACTTTGGGTCTGAATTCGCATTTGTGCTTCCATGCCTTTTAGTGTATTTATTAGCATGCTGGCTCTGATCCTTTGGCTATAGTATCAGGTCTAGCTGCTTCTGTTCAATTCACAAAGTAGCCTGGGAGTAGCCATAGTAGCCTGGTAGTTGCATATGATTCACTAATAATAACTGATGGGGTTTAACGTACCAAAACCACAATATCATTATAAGGGATGCTGTAGTGGAGAGGTTCGAAAGTTTTGACCACTTGAGGTTTTTCAACATGCACGTAAATCAAAGTACACATGACTCAACCATTTTTGCTTCCATCAGAGATGCGGCCTCTGTGCGACCTTCAAGTCAGCAGTCAAGCACCATAGCCAATAGACTACTGTGGTGAGTTACACATCATTCATGCCCAAGCTGAACTTTATAATGAGTAGAAAAGTAAAACCTTACTTTTTGAACTCCCTCTCAAACTCGGCAATAATCTCTTCCACCTCTTCTCCTTCCTCTGCATAATCTGCATCGTCAAGCTCACTGTCCGAAAACTGGGACTCCTAAACATTTCAAATAGGAATGAATAAAAATGGTGCCCCCATATTTAATGTGAATACCAGCTACTGCAGACAGCAAATGCTGTATCATTTCACACTCACCCTCTTTTTTGATTTTCCTTTCTGACCTGAAAAAAATAAATAAATAAAAATATGCCCACCTATATAAACAAAATATCAACAGGCAGCTAAATATATGTCAAGAAAAAATGTTAAACAAGAAAACAATGCAAACATGCTGCATCATACAGTTCACCTAAAAAGCACAGAATTTCTTATATATACCAGCATTGTGTGCACGCTCCAGAAACATTTGCTGTTGCAGTATCTTCTTTTCTTTCAGATCCTGCAGAGAGCAGAGCCATAAACATTACCCAAGATCTGCCAAGGCTGTCAGAAAGCAGTGCCCTTTTTCCCCCGAAGTAGAATTCACTGCTTTGTGAAAGAGCATTGTAATAACTTGACAAAATTATAAAACAGTCTAATCCGGTATTAAGACCTAATTTAGGTGATGTACATAATGCCCATGAATAGTAACACCTTGCAACTTGATGTACTATTTGAATGGTGAAAAAACATGAGAAATTGACAAAGCAAATGACACAAAAAACCATATCCTATACCTTTTCCAATGCTGTTACATACACTATCATTTTTGCTTGTTTGTGCTGTGTTCTCATTCAGAAAATAACGAGAAGGCCACATTACAGCAAGTTCATGAGGACTTTGACGTATCTTCCAAGATTCACTGCAAACACAGTCCTACAAATAAACGGAAGAAATGATCGAAATCCAGGAGTCTCCTGGCCAATCCAAGAGACTTGGCAGGTACATATCTGTGCCAAATTTTGCAAAACTTGATGCCCAAAAAGTAAGGATGTGCAAGAATGAAGAAAAAAAAAGGAATGGTGCATAAAATGTACTAACCTCCCTTCTCTTTCTAACCGCTGATATCCATGCATCAGGTTCCGTAAAGAAACGAGGATCTAGATCTGAGCAAAATCGCTTCATTGCGCACTCCTGTCATGAACAAACAAAAACAAAATCATTTACAAATGGCAACCTTACTTTACCATAACAGTTCAGTTCAAGTTAAGACATACTAAAAAAGAGAAGTAGTGCCTTCCAGTAACATGCAAGTATACACAACAGTTTGAAAAAGAGCCAGCAGAAACAGAAGAAATGCATGCCTGTGCACAAAAGTTCATACCTAAATGCAGAAAGCGCACAAGAAGTTTGAGCGCTTTGCAGCATAAGCATTCAGAGTTCAGTTGAAGAATACATTCTGCTTGTGGGTGGACAGGAATATGAACATCGATCCCTCAACTACTCCAGGCTGCATGCTTTCACAACTCCTGCACTACTAAGTTTTGTATACAACAGTGGCTTACAATAGTACCATTAGAGATGGAAATTTTCGAACACGCAACGCTGCTAGAGCCTGCAACACCCTGTGTTCACACATTTTTCATCTCTTCGAGCTTCCATATTTTCTTGAACTTCTGCCTTTCTTTAATGATCCTATTAACGACATTGTGGCAAGGGCTGCATGCACATGCTAGCAGTTAATAGGCAATTATAGTTTAACGGGCTTAGAGGGATAGCGGCTTACCGGGATGGAAGTGCCTATGCGCAGTAACGTATGTGACCCGTTTTTTTTTTTTTTTTTTCAGATTTAACATTACCGTGTTAGTGCGGTTTACGTACAACAAGTAAAACATGGCGGCATTTTACACAGCCGCTTTGATGTAATTTTGGCATAGTTGTTGAAAGATTCACTTTGTTCACAGCAAACGACGTTTTAAAATGGCTTCACTTGCTTTAAGTTAGGGTAGATGACAGAGTATTATGGGTAAGTTAGCATAGCTTTTGAGAGAGCTTCTCATTTCGAATGTTTCTAGGCCTAGATAGAAGATCGATGTAAACAAATCAGCTACATAAATGTTTTTCCTTGTGATTACTAAATAAAACTTATAACATTGCATTACGTGGTGACACAGGCAAACATTCTTGTTTTCTTTTCCCCCTTTTCACTGTTCTTTAACTTGCTCTCTGATAGGTGGCGCCACCGTCCAAACTGGGGCACGCACGCAAACAACGTATTCGCTATCCCGCTAAACTATAAGGTGGTGTCTGGAATGAACATGTGCGGCATGGTAACGCTTTTCCCTTAACCCCCGCTATAACGCTAACGGTAAAATATAACTGTCTAATTAGATTACATTTCTACCTTGGGAGCCCTTGCCAAGATATTTCTTGAGAATAAAAAACAATACTGGCCAAGAATCTCATTATTAGAGGTTTGTTCTGTATCGGGTTTTCAATGATAAAGTCAAGAATAGGTTCGTCTCATTCTATAATAATTTGACTTTGCACACTACCAAAGTTTTACAGATAAGGTCTGAGGGAATTAGGAGAAGAATTGGAAGTGACCTTCGTTCGCATTCTTCTTGTCATCACTGTCCCAGACACTGCTAAGCCACCATCATCCAGATAGGATTAACCAATATAAAGAATTTATGATACACAAGAATGTAAAATAAATAGTAAATAATTTTCTACAACTGCTTCTTTCCGTATCATGCAAATGTTCCCAGTTATTCCCACAGTTCAAGCAGAAAGTTATTTTTGTGGAACACGAGTGACTTGCCATGAGATCAGGGTCTACATTATTCCCACTGGCAAGCGTATTCTTCACTTGCTGGACTTGTCGCCGTAGCTCGTTGATGACAAAGCCAAGCTCTTCAATGCTGGAGAATCCCAACTCTTGCAATGTGCTCTACAAAAGGCAAACAACATAGATGAGTTGCAGGCGCAAGAGAACATAACATAAGTTCATACTGTTTATTAAATATTAACTTCCTTCAGTGAAACACAGATCTATTTTTGTTCAAATTGCCATGAATAATTACGTAATGCTTTCCCACTCATGTGCAACCACGCTCACTGATCAACAATTGTTGATCATTGAGCCATTGTTGATCAAAAATAGTTGAATGGTTGATGAAAAATGGTTGAGCTTCCCATGAAAATACTTAGGTTGTCAGCCAAGTCCATGTTTCGAAATGGACCCTTTTCGTAAAAGGGCGCCCCAAGCAATCTTTATGCGAACTACTTCAAGCAGCCATGCATAGGGTGCTGCGGCAGACGATTCTGTATGCGACTAAAGTGGCTGTCTAGCGCGACAATTTGCTAGCGTGGCAGCATGCCTGCACATTGTGGATTGTGCTGCAAACGCATTGCTAAAAATAGTTGGAGAGTGCTTGTCCTGTTCCGATGTGTCACCATTGAGCCTGCAGCGATGAGATAGGAAAGGTATGTGTGACACCCCAATGTAAATAGCATCCATGTCGCATATCTGCACACAGTGCTTGCATTAAATGTGATTATGGTCATGGAAGTGCTAGGCCACGTAGGCACACTGTGGATTTGTATGTAAAATGCTTGTTTTCACGATGGATGATGCGATAGCAACCACAGTAGGTTCATTACAGTAGTCTTCGTACTTAACACTGATGACATGGAATACCAACATCGCTAGCTTTACGGGAAAATGGGAAGTATTTTACTGGCAGTTCAACGCCACGAAGCCTGCGGAATAAAACTTGCAGTCTGTTGGTGTAGCCGAAAAAGTAGAACATGGTAGCGAGAGCAGCGATCACACCAAGCCACAGTAACAAGCGCATACAGTGCACTTTGCCACACAGAATGCTGTAGGCCACCATGTTGTTGTGATGCCTAGGCAGATCTGACTACACTCAGTTAGACACATCAAGTGCAATTCTGTTGAAGCTGTGCAAGAAGTTCGGTCAGCAAAATGTATAAATACATACATACATGTTTTCTTCAGTTTACGCAATAGTTAATGCTAGTGTGGGCCAAGCCTGCGTGTGAGGCGTCGTGGCCGACTACAAATGAAATATCTAAACAACGAAACATCCAGTGATGCAAAACACCACATTAAATGCCATATAACTAGGCTTGCGTGATTATTTAAACGCTTCAAATATTTTCAAGAATACTACAGTATGCAAACTCAATACGATTCGAACAAATAAACGTATATTAACCCAGCTGTAACCCCTGTAAAGGTGGTTTTATTGGAGCAGAGGAGTGCTAAGCTGCAAAAACACCTGTGTACATTAGTTTGCATGTAACCCCCTGTAAAGGTGATTTCACAGCAGTAAAGGAATGCTAAGCCATGAAACACTTACCCAGGAGATATTTGACTGCCACAAAGCTTTACTTCAAGGTTAAAAGCCAACTGCAACAAAATTTTACTTGGGCCGAAACGGCTATAAATACGTAGTATTGTCACAAGGACACAGGGACGTGGGCACAAAACAGGGCATTTACTTTCGGTACAAAAGGCCAAAAGTGAACACCAGAGCACGCGCCCACAGAACTACTTCATTATCCTCCTCAGAGGCTGACCACTACAGTTGCCAGCCTACCTTGTGTCGATTCCCCCATTTCCAAGAGCGACCATCCCGGTCGATTGACTACGATGCTGGAGATGACCATGGAGAAAGATGGTCACATCAACAACAACAAAAAAAGAACCTGCACTGTTGTAGATAATAAATAAATGTTCGAAGTGTTCATAACTCCGAACGTGGTATGGTTTCATCCGTACTATGTGGACTACTTCTGGACGTGGACGTCGTCGGTTTAAACTGGTATGAGAGCTTTGAAAAACTACCTCATAAATTATGTCACTGAGGCAGCGCACAACTTTGTAAGGGCCAAAGTAGCGTCATAATAACTTCTACGAGAGCCCACGATGTCGGTTCGGTGTCCAAACCCATACATAATCGCCTGGTTAATAGTGGACGTTCCTTCGACCTTGGTTGTAGCGGCGAGCGGCGGTATCTTGCTGCGTGCAAATGCGGTTCCGTGCAAGCGGGCGGGCTTCCTCAGCTTTCTGAAGAAAGTCGTCAACGCTGTCATTTCCGCTGGTGTCTTGGTCTACGGGTAGCATAGCGTCTAATGGTGTTGTGACGTAACGGCCACAAACAAGCTTGAATGAGCTTAAGTCTGTGGTCTCTTGCACAGCAGTATAAGCAAACGTATTGTGACGACGCGGAATCGACGAGCATACAAAGCAAATTGAACAAATACACTTTATCGATCAAGGGACAAAGACTGCAACGTCTTCTTCGTCTCAGCTCTCGGCCAAGGACACTCGCCATGCTTCGTTGTCACCGCTACTGGCACATACACGCGTCATTATTCGCCCTTTAAAAAAACATCGCCCCGATGTTAAACCTTCCAAAAGCAAGGTAAAACCAAAACTGCAGCGTTAGTCACTGAAAGTAAGGCTTCATCCGAAGCACGTGTACAATCTCTGGTGAATGTCTGCGGCGCTTTGACCACTGAACGCCGTCCGGAACAACCTCGTAGTTGACGTCACTGATGCGTCGCAGAACCTTGTACGGTCTGTCCGAAGTACTTTTGCAACAGCTTTTCGGAGAGCCCACACTGACGAATAGCTGTCCAGACCCACACTTTGTCGCCCACGTTGTATGTGACGGTTCTGTGCCGGAGATTGTCACGTTTGGCGTCATCGTCTTGTTGTTTGGTTATTTGCAACCTGGCAAGTTGTCTGGCTTCCTCTGCTCACTGGGTAAACTGTTCGACGTCCGTCTCATTACCATCATTTTCATGAAGGAGCAACGCGTCTAACGTTGTCTGACTTCGCGTCCGTAAAAGAGACTGAAGGGTGTCTTCCGAGTGGTCTCCTGACGAGCCGTGTTGTACGCAAATGTGGCGTAGGGCAATATGTCATCCCAGTTATTGTGCTCTACATCTACATACATGCTTATTATGCCAGCTAGTGTCTTGTTGAGACGTTGGGTGAGCCCGTTGGTCTGGGGATGATACGCCGTTGTCTTCCTGTGAGCTGTACCACTTAGTCGGAAAATGGTGTCTAAAGGCTGGGCCATGAACGCAGTACCTCTGTCGGTGATGACTGTTGCGGGAGCACCGTGTCTTAAAACGATGGCTTCGATGAAAAATTGCGCCGCTTCAGCTGCTGTTGCGCGTGGCAGACCGCCTGTCTCCGCGTTATTATGCCTGCGAGTCCGCAGCGAACGTCCATGCCTCGGAAAAAGGAAATCTGTGTCAAGGCCAGCCCGCGAGCCCGCCTGACGCGAACAACTCAACAGCGTAAACCCGCGACGCCGCCTTTCTGGCGCGCACGTGCAGTGAGTCACTCGAGCAGCCCGTCGAGCCAGCAACCGGCGGCGCCTTCCTGTCTGGCAGGTCTGACGCAATGCCTGGCGACGTCACTCGTCCTTGAGTGCAGCCACCTGCAGCGCAGCCTCTCCAGATTCGATGAGAAAGAATGATGCGGCCCAGCGGCGACCCCCATTGGAGGAGTCTGACCTCACGACCAGCGGCGCTTCTGGTTGGACATTTGGTTTCTCAAAGAATCCACCCGGCGCATATAAAAGCAGTCCTATGTGAGAGCAGACATGTGTGTCGCAGTAGAGCTATGTGATAGAGAGTTGGGCTGTGTGTCAGAGAAGAGAGCTATGTGATAGAGAGTTGAGCTATGTGTGAGCAGACCCATTTGAGAGTAGAGCTATGTGTTATAGAGAAGAGCTCGGCTCTTCGCGTCTCTGTCGCCCCAGTGCGAAATTTGTAACGCCTCTGTATATATGCTGTATATAAACCTTGTTTAACTCACTGTTGTCTCGTCCGCTCGTCTATCAGCTCTGCGCAGAAGCAGTCCCGAGCTGAGAAACCTACGCTACCAAACGGCTGGTGACCTTCGTGGTGGAATTCGAAGCAGTGGCGCCTTCGGGACCGTGTTGGCGTCGCCGTCTTTCGTAACAGTGGTGGCAGCGGTGGGATTTCAAGGCGCCCTTCGTAACGTCGTCGGAGGAGTCTTTCGCAACAGTGGTTGGCAGCTGCGGGATCGGCCGGCGTCAGCGACATCGATGCGGTAAGTGCCTGATGTTTTCCCCTCAGTTCACCAGACTACTCTTGTAGTAGTTTAGAGAAGGGCTGTGTGAAGCATTGAAGTGAGCTTTCATCGTTTCAAGCAAAGTCGAAGTGCTTTGAAACCAAATTTAATGCGGAGGGGGTAAACACGGGAGTGTGAAAAATTGCTTGCGCGTCTTGCTAGTTGACTTATAGTGGGTACGGCAAGTAAATTGTTAACAGCGGCAAACAGCAAGAGGCTAGTGTGAACGATGGAGAACCTTAATGTGAAGGAACTCATCGACATTTGTGAGGAACTCGGCATTACTTTGGGCCGTGCGAAATGAAAGCAAGCGATCCTTGAGATCATGAAGGATGAGGAAGTGTCGGCTGAAGAAGTCGATGAGGCCTGAGTGGATATCAAAGCACGCCGCGAGGAAGGAAGCTGAAAGGCGTGAACGCCGTGAGGAGGCCGAGAGACAGGAGCGCCTTGAGTTGAAACGAATAAAATTGGCAATCCTACAGTGTTCGCAGGCGCCTAGCGTAGCTTCTCCAACAGTTCAGGTCAGCGGTTATAGAATTCGGGACCAACTGCCACCGTTCGTAGTAGGCGAGGACATGGCGAAGTATCTCGTCAAGTTTGAACACGTCTGTGAGCGAAACGCTTTGGAGCGGTTTCTTTGGGCACAGAACCTGTTAGCTCTTCTTCCCGGCGAAGTGTCCGACGCGATAACTTGCTTGTCGAGGGAAGCGTTTGAGAGCTATGACGAGGTTAAGGAAGTGTTCTTGAGACGTTATAAGTTGTCACCCGAGGCTTTCAGGCAAAGGTTCCGGTATGCTAAAAAGGGGAAT